CCACACGTATCCGTATCATACCATGCTCTGCTAAAAATTTTCCAGATGTTCCTTGGAGCAAAAATCAGAAGCGCAAACGAAACTCGAATGACATCCGTAAACAAAAGACATAAAGTCGATTCATGTCTACGTCATCGTCGAGATCCATGCATCAAGCGATCTAGAGGCACAATACTTGTCTGGGATGAATGGTGTTCCATTTATTACCTACTCACACGCAAAAATGTGATCGCTCATTTGAAATCAGGGTTAGCGCTAGCACCCAAATACAAAGGCTGTAATTCCCAAGTGATAGAAGCAATTTGGAAATCCAAAAGGATGTCAGGAAAGTCGGTCAATAAGTGGAATAATATGGGTAACATTTTGCCATCCGAAATGCACATAAACTTGTTGGACACACATCCAGAAATGGACAAGCACGGAACAAGTGGACAACATGTGCAATTCCAGCAACAGGATGCTCAGAACCTAGACACCATAAAATTCCCCAGGCGGCTGAAGGAGGAATAGGTAATCAGTCAGTCACTGATATTGAGCACCATAAACATATTCCCGGAATGGCCCTATAGTTTGCGATGTGGATTCAGCAAAATAATCGAAAAAGTATCCGATACACCGTGCAAAACTCGCAGTGTACTGCTTTTATCCAGTTGAATCAAGCCATTAATAAACGCTTCAACAAATGTTATCCTCGTCAACTGGAAGATGAGTCGTATAATTCGTTCAGTCGAAGTGCTGTCGATGCTCAAATATTCTGGACTGTTTACTTAATGACATATGTCACTCTTTACCCATTCTCTTATAAAAGTGCAAAATTCTCAGCTTTACTGAAAATGTTTATATCACATTTTAGCGCATATTGGAAAATGCTGAAAATGCACCCATCCGGGTGCATAAAGCTTTTCTGGACTTGACTGGGCTGGAATCAACTTAACGGAATTCTGAATAAGTAAACATGATTCTAACTTCTGCGGCCCACATCTGCTCGTATGCCGACTCATAAGTCCTTCTCAATAAACTAAATAACCCTCCTCGTCAGATTTCAACGCATTTGGACTTATTAATTTTAACAAACACCTGGTTGCATCTAGAGATTACAAATACTAAGATATTTGAAACCAACTTTTTTCCCACACAAAACAATCGATCAGTGGAGGAGGTAGAGTGCTTTTCAATTGCCAAATGGCCCTGCATGCAAATAAAATGGACGGTCAAACACTCAATATATTGATCACTTTAGTGTTGTCCGCACCAGAGATGCGGCGATATGTATTGCTATGACTAGTTTACTGCTCAACAACCGCCAGCTTGAAAATGGATACTTGTCCAGTCTCCTTTTGTGACGAATATTTGGCACCGCCATACAATCGCATCCTTCTGGTGAGTGATTTTAACTTGCACTCAATCGGAGCCTTAACTTCCCACAGCAAAATATGTAAGGCTGACTTGCAAGAAGTAAATTCTGACGTACTGCTGAACAACCACGTTGGTTTTTCCAAACGATTAAGAACGGGTAACGAACCGTCCATTTGAGCCTAGTTGCTAACCATCAAGTAAATAATGATCGACAGTTTACCCAAGGTGCGTCGCTTGACCGTAACTAGCACGAAAACCTACTCCTCTGTTACATATCCAACGCGGAACAAACCTGCGAAAACAACATGGAAAACCACGCGCTTACTCATTAAGACATCCTATCCGACGTCGTTCATGAACCAGTCCTTCCTAGCCGAGATGCCGCCCGATATCCCCTGTAGTGGGTTGATCACAAAGTTCAACAGGCTAGTTGCCAATGCGTCAGAATCTAAACTCTTTAACCACAAACACGCGAAGACCACTCAGGGAACCTAAACTCAAAAATGAATAGTCCAAATGATCCAGCCTGGCTTTCCTTTTTAATCCCTCAGAGGACGCAGTTTTGATGAGGATATATAGCGAAGACAATGCATCAATTTGACATGAGAAGGAAATGCAACCCCAGGACATTCAGTTCGAATCATCGAACGCTGTAGAGGTTCGCCAATAGTCTCCGAAGACTACAGCGCGGGATCCCAAATCTACTTGCAGCAGATGCTTCGGCGCAAACTACACAAGAATCGACAAACCCGCTAGGCTAAAAATTTGTCTGCACTTCCAGCATGCATCATTATCTCACCTGCGTTTTACACAGTGCCTACCGCTCCCAGAGTTGACTGTGTATCGTTCACGGCATCAAATGTGATGAAAAGGCTATTGTCTTTGCATGTGTACAGGTCAACAGAATTGGACGAGATCAGAGAGAAGGTAATAAACACAGGGGTCTTGGATATGAATGGAATATTAGCTCGACTACTCCAAAGATGCCTTGATGAGATGCAATCAAAATCTTCCCGGTTTTGTAAAAAATAATAGGCATTATTTCGGAGGCGCTCATGGAATAATTTGTGGGCAATGCCATTGCAGAGGCTTGTTTGATATGTAATATGGTCGTCGTTGGACGATAAAAAGAAAAACATTCACATGTACTTTCTAGAATGTAGCAACTCTTTCGATTGTGTCTACCGTTAATTGCTGTCGCGTGACGTACCAGATTATAAATTCTAAACTGCGGATTCACTTCCGTTAAAGTTTTATTCCACCAGATGTACCCAGTTTACTATAGTTTGGGGAAAACTTTTCTTCCTCACCACAAATTCTGGTGTCCATCAGGTACGATCTCGTCTCTTTTCCTGTTTTCCACCTATTTTATGTCAATCCCCGTCTCTGAAGAATTAATCTTGGTAAAGTATACGGACGACAAAATCCTTGGGGTCCATCAACCAAGCGTTGAATCAACGTCCAAACTACAAAAACCGAACAATCTCAAAGCTTTATCCAAATCACGTTGCAAACAGGCTGAACAGCTCAAAATGCAAGCTTTTTAAACTAAATCGCCGCCAAATATCTTAACGCACTGTTCGCAACTTTGCATTGAAATTGGTTTGACCACCCCAATTCCTCATGGTGACTTAGAGTGATACTAAGCCGTGGACTTAAGTAGTTCATTCACGTGAGTGAGCCATTTAGTAAAAAATAGAAAAAAGCTGGTTTTGTGTTACAAATTTGATTTTCTGGACCCCAAATATTGATCCGGAGTTTTATCACTTTACATGTGTTTCCCTGCTGGACCCACCGCTCTCCTGTTATCTCTCCTTGTCTCCTGGGTATGGACGTCAAAGCAGTTGCCAGATGAATGAAGCATTTATCTTGGTACATTAAAATTTTAGAGACATAACTAGTCAACGACAATGTAATCAGCCGTATCAACTGTTGTCACAAGCGTGCATCTAAAATGATCACTAATGTTAGACACCTCCTCCACATGGCAATGTCTGATACAGCGCATCAACCACCACTGCACCGCATGATATAACATGTAAATGGTATTCGACTAATATCCGACAATTTTTCATTCAACAATGCATTAACCTAGATAGACGCCCTAACAGAAGGACTTATATATATATTTTTATTTGTAGATTTTCACTTTAAAATTTTAATTTCACTTTAAAATTTTAAATTATCTGCATTGTGGTCTGCAATCATGCGTTGTCCATTATTGTCCTATGACTGTATAAGCAATGCACCGATGGTTGATTTCTTGACTGCACATTCCCAAAATTTACATTTGAAAAGATGAAGTTGCGGCAATCGCGTTAGTAAATCTGTTGTGCGTTGCTACGCATTTTATAGTGAGAATATTAAACAAAGTATAATTGTTTAGCAACTGTATTTTTTGCAACCAATTTCTAAGATAACTTTATGTATTTCCGTATGCTCTATAAAATGTTAATTTACCTTTATACCAAACAGCCCATCCTGTGGACGAAATTGTTGATTACCTCAATGATTTCTCGTTTGTTATGTTGCATTCACGGGAATAAATGAGGACTATTTACAGCTTCTATTGACAGTGCCCAGGGAAAAGTAGACTGGTAATTTCGTTTAGTGCTCTTGAATGCCAGATAGTTTGTTTAAACCTGTATGACTAGTAGTTGTTATGTGCAGTTTAGTAACGGTAACTAAGTCCGACTAAACACTTGAGCTCTTTTTGCTGTTCCATTTGTTGATTGTACGCAACTTTCTGGCCTAGTTATATATACTTTTATCAGAGCTTGTGAAAGGGACTTCATATCGATTTCTCGCGTAGTTGCCAAAGAACCGCCACATTTTGAACTGTATCTACCCAGACCTCCGAGGTCGAGTAAATCTACCTGAAGCTTAAACTGAGTGTTTTGTTGAGTGGTGCCATGGATATTAGTCGATAACAATAACAACTGCATAAAGGTGTCAAGTATTTGACGGTAGGAATATGGAAGCAGCTGGACCCGATGTAAGTTGTACCAGTTTCAAGGAATAGGAAACAATTCCACGGAAGCAAAGTTTGGCATGATACTCAACACAGCAGTTTTGGAAACCCATGTAGAGCAAGCAGAAGAAAGGGACATTTCGCATGTTCAAACAACTGTAAACTCAATGTCGTAAAAAACTGAAAGCTTGCGTCTTCAGGTGCAGCATTAGCGTCTACATTTGGAAAGCTTAAGTATGGAAGCCTTCGATAGATTTCTCAGGAGGAAGTGCGTTAGTGAGGATAGGTACGAAGAGAAACAGATGGGCTGGAGCACACTTCGCTAGGTCTAGATATATGTTATGTATGATTTGCTTGTTTTCCGCATTGTATCGTCAGCATGGTCATCGAACTGCAAAACTTGGCTAGTGCAGAACAATGACTGACAAGATATTTCCATCGTTAAAGACCCGACTGTGCGCTTTGGAGATATCACCCCACACATCGCACTTCAGTCCGCCATCCTCGTTCCACAAAGAAATTCGGACGTCGTGTTCCGTGCTATGTTGCCAGGCGTTTGGTAACAGTCCCGCTGTAGCCGTCCGCGGTCGAGGGTAACTGGTTTTCGCTTGCGTTAAAGAGTGACCTAGAGCCGGTTGCCGTCATTCGAGGATTGCCTCGACAAATCTAGTGGTTAAGTTTCTGAAACATAAAACTCAAAGATGGTAGGCAAGGGTGAGGGTAAGTTACACGAAACCGAAGGGGTAACAGCGCATACATGATAAAATGAAATATGCTATTTTCAAAAGGTTTGGGAAATTTTGTCCATTTTATAAGTTTTGACAAAAAGCAAGAGTACACCGAAGCAGGAAAAACATGCATGTTACGTTAAATACGAAACGGTAACAATTTGCCAAACGAACCAGACGCCTGACCTGTCCATCCCGTCGGTCAGCTGCCTGAGTTTGAGACATGGTAAGTGGAGGTTCAAGTGGAACGGATGGTTTCCATTTATCTTGTGCTCTGTAAGCCAACGCATGTGCGGGGCTTCTGTGGTAGCACCAAGTTGGATCACAATTCAGTCGTTAAATGAAGCCACTTTGAGGCGGTCGATGGACACCGTTGTCGGGTGACCATTCTGACCCAGTGAAATACTTCGGAATCCATGACAGAACTCGGAAAGGACCAGTTATTGAGGCTGGAGTCTGTGATGTGACACCACGATCCAAGGAGACCAGGATAACAGTCTTGGCTGTACAGTCTTTTACGTTAATGTCTTCTGTCCATCTAGTGAAACGGTAGACATATGTAAGCAATTATACGAATCCGAGTGAATGGGGCCAAGCACCTGCCAGATCCAAGTGTACATGCGGAAATCGTGATTCTGAAGCAAGGCATGAGCCAAGAGAAATAAGTATATGTCCGGAAAACTTAATACACTGGCAGTGAAGACAGGCTTGATCCCGGATAAGAAAATCTCTACGCGTGGCTAAATGAAACACTAAGTGACTCGTCTAAAAGATACCGGAAAGTGATAGCGCATGAAGTCCGTCGAAGAAAGCGCGTCTGAAGGTGATGGACACAAGTGGTCCATGCGAACAAGTGGAGGCTTCACAGAGTATAGTTCCTTCCAGGGTTTGCAAAGCAATAGGTTGCACCTATAGTGAAGTGGACTAGAGGGTGAATTGGAGGACTTCATCTTGTGCCTGGGCCGAAGCCACGGTGGCAAGGCCGGCAGAAAGCATAGGCTGGATGATAAGTTTGATGACTGAGATAGTGTCGGTTACAGGATTGTCAACATCTGATACATGATGTAAGTCAACAATGAACTGCGTGAAAATGCTTAACTGTCAAGTTTCCAATGGTGAGTATTGTCAGAGGTTGAATGCAAGTTAGGGATGTGGGATAGTGTTCAGTGTAGACCTGGAAAACGCGACATTCGATCGTCCGCTGGAAGTGACAAATGTCTAGGTTGGTAATCAACAGTTATTAGCCGAAGTTTCTATAGTAGCATTTCGTTGGATGCAGGCACTTGGAAAATAAACCCAGAGGTTGCCATGGCTCACCTGTGGGTTGTTAGAGGTCAGCTCCTACCACAGCGTCTGAGGCATCGCTCGTAATAGAAAGGTGTAGTGGATTCGGAATGGTCGGGGAGAGCTATGTTGGAGATCGCAATCTTGAGATCAATAAAGGCTGTGCTTGGTGTGTCCCGGAAAACTAACTTAGCTTCACTTTTTAAGTGCAGGTCAGTCAATGGTCGCATGAGTCGAGCACAGCGAAAAATTAAACACCAATAGAAGATGACCATATCACAAATCGACAGTTGATATTTGCCTAGATCATTGCTGGAAAACTCCGATACCAGACAAGGAAATGAGTCGAGCTAAGAATACAACGGTTTACTTACAGAATTTGCACTTAGTCGGTCGGACTGTGAAACCCTGTTTGGTCAAATGTTGGAAGACGGAGTTGGTCAAGGTGTTCTGCTTCAGATAAACTAGCTTATTAGAAGCTCATCAAGATTTGCATAAACAAAGTCGACCAATAGTAACATTTTGGATAAAGCTGTCAAACGGTTGCGCTGCGTTCCACATTCCGAAAAGCATTATTAACAATTCAAACCAGCCGAAAGTGGTGAGGACGGCTGTTGTGGGATTGCTTTTCCCTTCCCTGGCATCTTGTGATAAGCGCGAACTAGATCGATCTTAGTAAAGATTGTCTGTGATGCATGCGGTGAGGCCCTGCATGTGTGAGACTGGTTACCAATCTGGGACTGTTAACCGATTGAGTGCGCTTTAGTGACCGCAAGAGCGGCAGTTGCCATATTTCTCAGGAGCCGATTGCAGTGCTAATGGACCCCGGATTTCCGAATGTCGGATTAGTACATGTTCGTGCATGTGCTCATACTTAGCCACGGTAGCATTAAGTTTCTGGGGTGAAAGTCGGTGTGGGCAACATTAAACGGAGTACGTGCCTTTAGATGTCACGAGCAGAGCTGCATTCACTGATTGAACGAGCTTGGATTACTGGAAGAAGTCTGGTTATCCTGCCAAGGTAGGAGGAAAGTCTAGAACATGGTGCTAGATGGGATGTTGGCGTTGATGCCAGACACACTGATTTCCGTTGCAAACTAGACTATCATGTTGCGTTTTGCGTAGCCCAAGAGGTCGACGATTGTAAATTGCACTTTAGCAACCATAAATACCCATCGGAACGTGCGCGAAATAATTAGGTTGAGCGACAGCGACTGATGAACGTAGGTGACTGTTGGGGTCACAATGGCCGCAAGGTACTGATCACCTCACCTGGGATAGGGGAGAAGAAGCCGAATTCCGCCTCGGTTTGACATAAGTATTGGGTTGTTAAATCATAATCCCTAACGTAGATCAGACGAATTTTGGCAAAACAGACACCGTTTGTTGCCATTACATGCCGGCCTGGAAACTTCACTGCTTTGCGGCGAATAAACTGCATGGCTGCTTGCATTTGCGGTATTTTTACCAAATACAAGAGACAAAAGCAAAATCTTAAAGAGTTACTTTTTGTATGATGGGGCGACGACCTAGAGCGAAGGACGTGATACGGCCTACGTTGAGTTCTTCGACTTGCTGCTGCAGCGAAATTATTTGCGCTGACTGCGAGCCTATTTCCCATGGCTATCTGGTCGCGGAGGCTACAAGAGTTTATGTCGAGTTCGTCAGTCGATGGATGTTGTTCAGTGAAACGGTCTGCTACTTCTACACCTACTGCGAGTGGTAAGGTACTTGCCAACGCAAGGATAATCTGTGTGCTTTCTGGCAGATATTGCATTTGATTGCTGCGGAGAATCTCCGCTTTCATGATGGATGTGCCTAGGAGCTGTTGCAGTATATATCCATAAGATTAAACGGTTCCTGCAGTAGGACTTTTATGGAAGGTGTGATTCGTTGCATGGTCACTAACTCAGAGTCTCATATTTTACATCATGAATGGGGCAAGATATGATGGCCCTCACCTGGAATGATATATTTCTGGGAAATTGAGGCATGTGTTGATGATTTTAAGCTCGATTGGAAGAAATTCTTAAACTAAACGAAGTGCATTTTATGCGTACAACCCATACTACAGGGTGATTCTTTATAAAGGTCAAAGGTTAGTACTAATGCATTAACCACATCCTGGGATGGTTTATCCCAAAGACCATACATTTCATAAAATGAATGAGAATATCAGTTAGATAAATAAACAAAATAATAAAGAATAGCGAGTCGAAAAGCCTCCGAAACAAGCTCACCAACATGAATTTCCACACGGCAGGCGGTGTGCTATGGGTCAGGGTCACTAATTTTTGGGTGGCGCCTTGGACACTGGTCGATAACAATGACAACTACATAAACGTGTCAAGTATTTGACGGTAGAAAGAAGGAAGCAGCAGGACCCAAACTTTGTTGTACAAGTTTCAAATAATAGAAAGCGAATCAACGAAAGCAAAGTTTAGCATGATACCCACCAGAGCAGCTTTGGAAAACAATATATAATAAGTAGACCGAAAGGACTTTTGGAATGTTCAAACAACAATAAATACTATGTTTTAAATACTGAATCATTATGTTTAGAGGTGGTTTACTCCTCCAACATTTTGTGATTACCTAAAGTTTCTCATAATTGACATTCTTCTAAACTTTGCTTTTAGTTTGATAATGCATATCTTTCCTTTCCTTCTTTTATGTAGCCGAAAATGTGCCTGGAATTTTACTGTTAGACTTAGATGTCGAATTTAATAGCCAGCTGCAGTGTAAGCTCTACCGTATACCTTGACGACTTTACCTGCGTGCTGTGGTCAGACGTACACTTCTACCACAACTGAGCCGACAGCCAAGCAACTCTTACTAACACTGCGATTTCACTGAGTTTGTGGATTGCTTCGTTTAGTTTAGTGTATAAATCACCTCTTGGGCATACCAATGAATAAGTTAATTTCGTTGCCACAAAGCCATTTATAATGTTTGGATTCTCACTGATCTTGTGAAGTGCGGGATAGCAGTCCATCAACCAAAAGCATGGGGTACAACGCGGCGATGGTGTCTGTGTGGTATATGAGATATGTTCATTACGCCCTGAAAGCATTTATAATTCGGGAGTATTTTATTACCACTGTTTATAGAGCATTGTTGAAGTCCGCAAAAACACAGGGTGTGAAGTGTCGATGGATTTAGGAAATCTTACGCTGTCTTCATCGACGTCAGTGAATGTCATGCCACTTATTGTGGAAAGCATATTCGTGTTCCGAAACATCGAGGTATACTTCGTGTTCCACAAAACAGCAATCTATCTCGATTCACATTTCGATCAAATTTAACATTCTAATTCTCGTCACATATACTTGCGCGTGAGTACTTTTGAACCAGTCTGATGGGCGCCAGTCAGGGCTTATCCATTCTTAGAGGTAACTTGTGTGAATCCTACTGTTGCTTCCGTTCACATTCGTGACACAATCTTTGTCGAGATCTATGCGCACAATGACAAGATATCTGAGTAGTTGTTGAATAATTTTGATCGCATGCGGAAGAAGAAGCTGAGGACTCTCGAACGATCCCGTTGTAATTTTTGTAGGCTGCCAGCTAACGAAGCAACTAGGCAGTTTGTTTTGCTCATTTATTAAACATCGCAGAGAAGCTCGCGCTCGTAAACTCCCCACTTTCATCTTTGCATAAAGGGAGTCC